GTGCGCGCGTGTGTGTGTATGTGTGTGTGTGCGTGTGTGTGTGCGTTTGTGAGTGTGTATGTCTGTGTGTGCGTGTGTGTGTGTGAGTGTGTGTGTATGTGCGCGTGCGTGTGTGTGTTTGTGTGTGTGTGCGTGTGTGTCCGGGCTCGGAGGGAGGCAGCAAGTGACCCACGGCCATCTGTCTGTGAGGGGACGCAGGTTAGCGTCACGCTGCTGGCCGCTGAGTCCCTGTGCCCCGAGGGTGTGGGTGGTCACCCTGTTCAGGTCACAAGCATGGTTGACCGGCGTTGAGGGGCGACACAGGCAGGCGCAGGGGACAGAAGTGTCATGCGACGCAAACAAAAGCAGGGCGGCGCCTTGCTTCGCCCTTGGTTGTTCGCGCAACGGAGCAGCAACAGGCTGTTATCAGGGGTTATCCGATGCGGATGCGGGAACCGGATGTGTCGATACTGAGCGCGTTGGGCCATCACCTGACGCCCCGCTGGATGATCCGGTTGATGCAAGGCAGCGGGCAGCCTGGGCGGCGGGGCGGCACAACGCATGAATGTTACGGCTGCGTGGCGCCAGGCACTCGCCGGCGTCAGCCCACAGATTGCGCCGCGCCGTCCCAGGGGCCGGCGGCTTCAAGACGAGGGCGGTCCGGAAACGGCCGCGCCTGTGTCGAGTGTTGAGGCCGCTGTCGCTCCAACATGCGTCGGCACACCAACATCATGAGCCATGGCGCCCCAGAGCATCCCCCTTTCTACGCAGATCCGGGTGGCTGCCCTTTTGAGCCGACGGACCGCGCGTCCTGGGCGCACCCGACACGGCCAGCGTGGTGACGTGGCGGCCCCTGAAGCGCTTGAAGCTCTTAAGCAGGATGAACGCCTGCTGGGCCGGCCCCAGCCGCACCGTCGTCTCCCGCAGCACGAAGCTGCGGTTGTGATTGTGTCGCAAGCACGCGGGGGCGAGCGGCCAGCGGCCGCAAGAGTGTCATCAGGGGACAGTGTTTATGGGTTTCAGGGGCTTTGAGGGCGTGGCGGAACCGAGCGCGCGTTCGCCGCCGGCAGTCGGCCGCCCCAGCTTGCGCCCGGGGCGCTGAGGTTGACGCATGAAAAAAGTCGAAGGCCCTTCTGCAGTGGCTTCGCAGTTGACGACGGGCGGCGGCGGGTAAGCAGCGAACCGGGCCTCACCCGTTGACGTGCAGCGTGGAGCCTTCAAGGGTGCAGCAGTCGGTGATGGCGCGCTGCGTTTTGGGGAGGGAGGGGCGCTCGCACTGGTCAGGCAGGGGCGCCGGGGAAAGCGACGAGACCGCCCCGGCCATGCACGCGCGCGTATGCCGCCCCAACCTCAACAGCCATGCGGCATGTCGATTGCATGAGCAGCGGCGTCGCACCCCTAGGATCAGATGGGGCTTGCCGTTCGCACTCACATTCCGCTCCCCTCCCCCCCCCCTACCCGCAAGACACACACACGAAACTCGCCGCGCGCTATCAGCAAGCCTGCATCGATCATCGGGGCCGCCCCACCTGCAGCACTGTGGGGGCCACCTCGTAGTTTCCTTTGAGCAGGATGACATACTTTGAATACTCCTGGGGTGGGGTCGGGTGATTGGGGTTGATTCTTGAGGATTTCCAACGGCTGGATCATTCTGTTGGGTTTTCCTCAGGGTTCAAGTGCAGAATGGTTTTGTGGTGGGGGAGCTTCAGGTTCGGCTGTTTCAAGATGGCGCGAATCAGCCAAGTGGCCTCATATAATGAGGTGCTTCCGGCAGTTCGCGCTGACTGGGGGGCGGGTGCCAGGCCCATGCCGTGGCGCCCCCGCCCGGCAGCAGGTGCGCAGCGCAGGAGCCATCGGTCGGCCGGGTGACGGCGCGCCAATAGCCTCGCGTGCAGATGCGCGTTGCAGCAATTGCTGAGCCATGCCTTCGGCACTCGGCAGGCTGGTCATGGGTGTGTGCCGGCCCTCCTTAACCTGCGTCAGCCATGAAAAGGAAACTCGCACAGCCAAATGCACAGCATAGACCGCAAGACATACCTCCAGCTGCGCACGCGCGCACACACACACACACACACACACACACACACACACACACACACACATGTGCACAAAGACACAAGCGCGCACACACAGGCACGCGTGCGCACAAACAAGCTCGTGCGCACACAAGCTCATGCCTTTCACTTATTCCTCCCTTCCTCACTCCCCCCGCTCTGTCTCTCTGCCTTTCTATATCTCCCTGCTCCTCCCTCCTCTTCCCCCCTCCCTCCCCCCTTCTCTCTCTCTCGCTCTCTCTCTCTCTCTCTCTCTCTCTCTCTCTCTCTCTCTCTCTCTCTCTGCCCCTCCTTGTTCTGTTTCTATCTCTCTGCCCCTCTCACCCAGAGAGCCATCCCCGCCTCATTGGCGGCCTTGCGCAGCTTCCAGCCGTACCTGATCACAGGCGGTGCGGGGGAGGGGGGGGAGGGACATGGGGCCTGCGGCCAGGCGTGAGGCCCCATGCGCGCAGCTGAATGGGCGTGTGTTGCCCGCTGCGCGCCCGTGATATTTGGTGGTGCTGCCGGGGCCCAAGCGTCCCTGCCACGACCCCAAACCCACGCCATAGCACCACCCATATGTTGCATACTTTCAGATCTCCACCGCTCGTGGGCAGGTCCCCCCCCCCACACACACACAGAAATGCACACACACACACACACACACATGCACACACTTTTCCACACAAACACACATCCACACACAAGCACACACACAACTGCCCAGAGTCGCGAGCACACGATTACACGGAGTGACACACACACGGATATGTGTTACACACATGATAGCCCGCAGCGTCACAGCCTGCGACTCACTTGATGACATTGAGGGTGGACACCGACAGGCTGATCCCAATGGTGGTCTGGTCCATCTTCGTGGCCGCGTCCGCGCTGATGAGGCGCCCGATTATGTACGACTGCAGGACGCACTGCGGCAGCGCCTGCGGAGAATTCAAAGGCGGCGTGCGCGGGGCGGGGAAGGGGGGGCACGCGAGCAGGCGCGTAAGTTGGTTTTTTGTGGCCTATCGCATCTTGTCATAGACCAGGGCACTCACTCTAACGCTGCACGACAGCTCCCAGCTGGAGGCGGCCCGATGGGGCCAGCGTTGATGACATATGATGACGTCAGCACGGCTTGCAGGATGGATGCGCCCACCTCGCACACAAACTCCACGAACAGCCGCGTGTAGTTGTAGTTCGTCAAAAACCAGCTCAGCTGCACAGCGGCGCCCTGCGTGCAGGGATCAACGGCGCCGGGGGCGGGTATATGGGTGTGGGGCTATTCTTGCATGGCTGTCAAGGCTTTTGGGGTGTCGTGAGGGGTGGCCTGAGGCGGCGCCGCAATAGCGAAGGGTGCATACGCCCTTAGTGGATACCAAGGCACACACGCGCATGCAATCACACACACATACATTCAAATCACATGCGCAAGCACGTACGCAAATGCTGACACGTGCACCAAACATCGTCACATGCTAGCCCACACGGCGCAAAATGGGAATTGCGGACCACCTGCTTGCTGACGGCCGGCAGCAGTGACGTCACCAACATCAGCAGATCCAGCACGAGGACACCAGGCAGCGCCACGGGCACCGTCAGCATCCACCACCCGCTGTGGCGCTTGCGGCCGTCCCCAGCTGGCGAGGGGTGCGCTGCGGGAGCGAGGGGTTGCCGCGTGGGGGCGGCGGGTAACAATATCAGGCCGTTGGATTGGTCGCGCGCGTGTATGAAGACGCTGCGTCAAACTTTCGGAAATGAGCCTCGGTGTAAATTGCACTGCGGGGCTGCTGCGCTCGGCAGAGGGCAATGCAAAACTTGCGGGCGGGCTGGCTCCGCACATGAATTGCAAGTGCACGGGGACCAAGCAAATGCGCGCGTTGCGAACCGCAACGGCGCGCTCGCCCTGCAACCCACCGCACAAGCGCCGTGCGTACAGGACAACGAGGACGGCGGTTATGAAGTAATGCCACGTCACAAACCATAGCGACAGCCCGAGCCACAGGGTTTCCCCGGCCGCGCTGAAGGCCTGGCGGCGCGAGAGGGGTGCGCAGAGTGCCAAGGAGTGGGCGGGTGCGGCGTGAGGCGGGGGTTTTAGGGGGGGTTCTGGGCTTGTGGCGGTGGACGGGCTCCCGGAGTAAAATTGTTCCCGGCAACATTTCAGCAAGCGGAATGGTGAATGGAGAAATGGTGCGGAATTCCAAGGGGTGTGGTGCACTTGTGCTTGCTTTGCTTGGGGCCTGGGGCACATTGCATTCCATCGCCGCTTGCTTTGTGTCGATGAAATAATCCACCTCTACATTACGGCCCACCTTGAGAACAAGAATATCTGTATAGACCTGTGGGGGTGGGATGGAGTTGCAATTTGGCTGCAAGTTTGAGTTTGAAGGCCATGCAAACCAGCGGCTGCTTTGGCAAGCAGGGGGCGGCCAAAGCACACATGCATGCAAGCACGCGCGTGCATACACACATACATGCCCACACGCACGCGCACGCATGCACACGACTACACACATACGCACATGGGCGCGCGCACACAACCACACACGCACACACAAATGCGAGTTGTTGTATTGCCTGTCAGATTCGCAACTCTGACCCCACAGCTCAGCCGCTCACATCAACAAAGTACAGGCAGACATCAGAGAAGTCAAAGAGCACCGCCACAGCAGTGCTGCCCATGACCGCCGCCCAGGCCAGCCCGAGCTGTTGCAGCAGCCGCCGTCGCTGCGTCAAGGAAGGGTTGGGGGGTGTGCGGATGGGTGCTCAGTGGCACAGGCGCACAGCGCCGAGCAGTTACGCACCAAGAAGCAGAGCGTCAGATTGGGTTGGTAAACCCTGAAGCCTAAATCGTAAACTAGATTGGGTCGCAGGCAACCCAGGAGGACAAAGAAGGCGTGGGTGCATTGGCATCGGCACTGGCAGCATCTTGTCGCCAACGCACCTCGGGGGGTCGCTGATCGCCGCCGCCCGGCTGAGCCTCTACGCTGCCGGCATGCGCCGCCATGACCCCCTCCGCGCCAATGCCCAGCCCCTTCTTGATCAGACCTTTGCCCAGCAACAGGTCCGCTGAATCATCCAGCACGCCCCTGTGGGTGTTTGCCTGTGACACGAGGGGCTCGGCAGCTTCCTGCTCGCTGCCAGTGTCTTCCGCGCCACCAAGGCCGTCGTTCGTCGGGCCATCACCCCCGTTGCCGCCCCCACCGCCGCCGTCGCCGCCGCCGCGCTCGCCACGCACATACACGGCCCTCAATCGGAAGTCCGCCGCCGCGCGCACCCCCGCTGCTGGCCGCGCGGACGGCGGCGGCCGCGGCGGC